ATTTTACAGGGCAAAGAGGATGATCGATACTAAACTGATCAATTTTAGGAATGCTTATTTGAACAAGATCGCCGACCTTAAAATGGTTTAGTTTTCTTTTTTTTATCATCTGTTTAGTCATCTTTTCGGTATATAGTTCGAGGTCTTTTCGAGCGGCATTACATAAGATTTCATGTCCCAAAATATTGGAGCTTTGTTTCGTAATATTAGCTAGCACTAAATTCAGAAGTTGGTCTGAAGAATTAATATTCTGTTCCATAGTTTCAGCAAGAATTGGGGCCAGGTTAAAATTTTGATTCATATGGTCTACCAAAATTAAAAATAAATTATTATTTTAGCCCATAATAGAAATAAGGTCTAATTTAAATTACACTTTAAAGGATCAAATACTACTACACTGGAATTAGCTTCAATGTTGGAGCTGGTATTGGTATCAGCATTGGTATTGACATTGGCGTTGAAATTGGTGTTGGTATTGACGTTAAAATTGGCGTTGGTATTAACATTGGAATTGGTATTGATACTGACGTTGGAATTGACGTTGATATTGACATTGGAATTGGCATTGGTATTAACGTTGGAATTGGCATTGATATTGATATTGGAATTGGCATTGGTATTGATATTAGAATTGGCATTGGAGTTCGTATTGACATTGGCACCACTATTATTGTCCAGAAAATCATCATAACCACCAGGTTGGTTCAGATTTTGATATAAATGCTTATGATTAATGAAAGAAATAATAAACAAATGAATAAATGAATCAATAAAAAAAAACATATCTTCTATATCATCATCCAAATTTAATGTATTATCAATTTTGATCTGAACCGTATTTGGAATATCTTCTTCATTGTAAATTTTTTTGCTATATAATTCATTCACCAAGACGCTGTTTCCACGTGGCTTACAGCCGTAAACAAGTTCATACAGCATTTTTTTATAAGAGCGACACCAGGAGTTATTCATCACTACAACGACAAATCTCAAGCCAAATGACTAATCCTTACGGCCAATATTTTCTTGCTACTTCCCCAACTTTTGTTGTAGGATTCTATTTGCTCGTTCAACGAGCCCTTGTGATTGCGGATAGCGGGTCTTCCATTTATTATAGTCACTAATGGCCACAACTCAATCAATTCCTTAATTACTTGGCCGACGAACTCCTTTCCATTATCCGATTGTAAAATCATAGGTGGTGATCCTAGTGAATGAAAAAGTTCAAATAGGTATGCCACAATCTCAATTGCTCTTTTAGATGTAAGGGCCTTCGACCAGGAAAACCTGGTAAAGTGATCCCTAATATGACAGATATACTTGAATTCTTCATCTGGGTCAAAAAAACAAATCAATTAAGTCTATCTATATAAAAAAAAAAAAAAAGATTAGTTTAATTTAACTATAAATTTAAAAACAAGTAATGAATCACCTATACGCGAGACAGGAAATTTTTTGCTATTATCGGTTTGGCCACTAGTGGATGAAATGAAGGTTTTCAGATGGCGCACACAATGCAATTATTTACAAACTTTTCAATAATGTCCTGTTTAATCCAACCCCATCTTTCATGCATAGACTTCTATGTCTGTTTCTGTCCTTTGTGTTGTATGACTTCACCGTGAACATGACAAAGAACTTCATAAAATCTCTCTTTTATTAAAACAGGGTTACCCATGGCTTTTACAAGTACTTATGATCACCAGGTGTGATTTCTTCAAGCTGGAACTTCCTCCTAACCCAGCAACGAGTATTTTTATTATACAAGGTGTGATCTTTAGAATTTAGTAAAACATTTTTTATTTTGGCTAGAAGCTCATAGTTGATTAGGGCTTTTTCACACTTTGTTTCAGGAAAGTTAAGTATATAATTATTTAAGATTTGTTCTAGGGTGTCTTTACTGATGAAAGTGTATTCCATATTTAATTAATGATGATGTAAAGTAAAATGACTCAAAAAAGCCCAAGAAAGTTTTTTTTTTTGTTTAAAAAAAGCCAAGAGGCCAGAAAACAAAAGAGCCCAGAAAAGAGATTTATATACTCTATTTAGCTTTGACAAAACTACGACCAAATTACATTCAAATCGACTTTGAACCATTTTACTATCATTGCTATCATTTACTATCATAGATATGTTTAATTATTATCGATATTGCTGCTGCATTATGTTAAATAATTATTTGTGTCATATTAGCACCTTTGGTAACCGAGTTACAAGTCATGTACCTCACATGACAATCATCATCGAGGTGTGTCATCTGCAATCTGACACGGGAAGGGGTATGAGACACAACATATATGAAATATTTTATTCAAAATAAAAAAAATTTTAAAATAAATTTAAAAAAAAAATTATCTTCTGTAAATTAATTACGTATAATTGTAAAAAATACCTATAACAAGAGATTTGTATTATTTTACTAACATTCACTAACTATCATCTCATAGACACTATCTCACAGAAAATTAATTCATAGACAAATTTATTTTAATATTTTAAAACAATCAATTCGCAAACAAGTTTATTACATATATTGACAGCCCTTTTATAAAAAAATTTTTTTCTTATAAATTGCATTATCTTAACAACTCTAGTTCTAATAAAAATAACCAGAATCACTTTGTAAATGAGCCATCTATGAAATAAATTTCTGTAAATTAATTGTCTATAAAATAAATTTGTCTGTAAACTAATTGTTGATGAAATAAGGTATTTATAAACTAATTAATATCTAAAAAGTGGAAAGCACCACTAGAGAAATATATCTGGTATATATCAACAACTCAGGATCTACAAGTTAGCACTTTCTGATACTTTACTATATATATCTAAAGATATATAAACAAGCATAAGTAAAAATAATATAAAAACTTTGTAAACTTTATTCAAAAAAAGGTTATTAATTCAAGATTTAAAAACTAAATAATACTTGCGATTTCTATTACTCTTTACTAATTCTTATTCTCTTTAAAAACTCTGTCAGTTTTAAGATTGCATTCATTGGTTTTAAAATTGTGTTTGTTATATTTATTTTGGGTAAGTTAACGAATTTGACATGTGATTTGGGTACAATTTTTATTTGTATCCAATTAGCATGTGACTTTTTGTAGATCAACAGGGTAAGGCCCAATTTTAAAAATCAGTGCATATGTAACTATTATAGGACATCACTAAATTTTGTTGATCAATTTATTAAAATAGTAATTTTATAATAAAACAGTATATTTTTAAAAATGTTCTAACTCTCATTCTAGTAGAACAAATTCAATTATATAATTTTTAAATGAATATAAATAATGTGCTTTTAAAACTATATTTTATTTTATTTTATTAATTTGGCTAAAATTACGAATTAAACAAATTTTAACAATTATTTAAACGATTAAATTATAGAGAACTACTAAAATTTATATTTTAATATTAAATATTGCATTTTAGTTCTAAAAGCAAGCTATTTATATGCCATTTACACATTATATAATTAAATTTGCTCTACTAGAGTGGGAGTTAGAATGTTTTAAAAATATTATTTAAACAATTATTTTATAGAAACCTACTAAAATTCATATATTGGTATTAAATATGTTATCATAGTTTTAAAACAATGCTATTTTATATTATTTGCAAGTTACAGAATCAAATTTACTTTATTAGAAAGGAAGTTAAAATATTTTAAAAATACATGGTTTTTACTATGGTGCATGTAGCCTAGAACCAACATCACATGACCAAAGATGGCCAAATTTTAAAAAATTTTTTATTATAAAAATTTTTGTACCACATAAAAATTAGCCAATTAAATTTTAGCAAAATATAAATTTTTTAAAAAATTTATATTAGTGGCCAA